AACAACAACAACATACATTTAGAAAGTGTGGTAGCATTTGTACAGAGCAATACCACTCTTCAAAATAATGATTAAAGAATCCTTCTTCTTGCTGTCTGAACAAGATAAAGTTCTGGAGATATGGAAGCATTTACAGTAATAATTTAAAGGTTTTAGGTCATAGACTTAGGGTTTGCAAATAGAAGAAATTAGTAAAAACAGCAATACCAAATGAAGTAGTGAGATTTTACTAGTAGAATCTTTGTGGTAAGTTTAAATGTTATGAGATATGCAGAAACAGCACTGTTAACTGATTCTACTCAGAGAACTTGAAGATAGCTCGCATTTTAGTTAAAATTTTTTTTTTAAGCATTGGTTTGTGGTTGGTATTTTGTGACCAGAGCTGTTTGGATTTGGTATTTTTTTCGTTTGCTTTTTTTTTTTTAAAACCCATTTCTAAAATAGTACAAATATACAAATTTTCTAGGAGGTAAAGAACATATATAACCCTCTTCAAAAAGAGAGCTCCTTATAACATGCATAAAAATATAAAAATTATAATATAAAGACTCTGATTCCTTCAGAAAATCATTGACTACTTGCTATGTAGTATGTACAGAGCTAACTTACCTGCAGGATTAAAATGGTGATAAATTGAGCCCCTGCCCTACCTTGTGGTAGATTTGAGTGATGATACAGGACTAAATAAACAAGGTGATCTTTGAAGCCTCATCCTCAAATGTTTCCTCTTACTCAAAAGGGAAGACTGGGACCCAAGTCAAGCGATTCCCTTTGAAGATGGTGGGTAGAGATCAAGTAGAGAATGGATCCTGAAACACAGTCAAGGCAAAAGTATCCTCAGGAAGAAGTCAGCCAGTTGCCAGTGGAAATGACAGCCTTTACAGGAGCTCCAAGAATATTAGTTTGGAAATGGGTCACTGGTGATGGATTAGCAAGAGGTTAAGTTTAAGAGTCAAGATTAGGATTAGAGATGTCATAAAAAGAGTGGATAAAAGAACAAAAACCACCTCCTGGAACATAAATAATAAGCTTCTGCAGCTTTCCCAAGAAGGAGAGAACACATGTTTTATAATTGAACAGTAAGTCACTTAAAAAATTTAAAAACAAAAATCCCCTCAAACTCATTGACATCAATTTGGAACCAACTCATAGCCCATTCTCCTTTGGGTTTCAGAGGTTTTAAATAGCAAAGGAGGAGATTGCGCTTATTTCTCCCATGGAGTCACTGGTAGAATCAGTTCACCAGAGAGGTGCAGCTTCTGAGTTTGCAGCACAAGGCACTATTGATTATGTCACTAGAACTCCCCAGGAAACTAGGGAGAACATTGTCTCATTGGAGCCAAGCCGTAAGTGACCCTCCACACAGTCTTCAGAGGTAGTAAATAGCACAGGAGATTGCCTATCTTCCTCCCACAGAGCGGCAGGTGGATTCAAACCATGCAGCCTTGCATTGGCTGCGCGATGCTTACCACTAACGACACCAGAGCTCCTCTTGAATGATCGTATGTAATATGCCAATATAATGATGATAATTATTAAACCTCCCCGATTCCTATGCCAGATATTTATGTTACTTCATTTTATTCTCATCTTCAGAGGCAAGTAGAACTCTTACATGTCACAGTTAAGTATGTTAACTTGCCCACTTAAAAATAAGCTCTTCCCACTTCTAAATTCTGTGCTTTTTCTATACTTATTTAGATCTCTCTCTAGATGAGGCAAGTAAGAGTATTAAAACAAAGTTCAGATATATCAAACAAAGTACATATATTTAAAAAGATGCCTTATGAAAAGATATTACTATGGAAAAAGGTGAAAGAATAAAAAAGATTGTGTATCTTTAGCTTTTCTTGGGAATGCTTAATACTCCACCGTTATTGTTTACTTTTTCAATATTTGCTGTTTTATTTAGAGTAATACTAATTTTTGTTAGCATTTTTTAATGTAATGAGAGAGTTTACATGATTGGAATTTTGCCTTCAGACACAAAGTTCTTTTAATAAACAGATTGAATGTTACTAGAACATCAATTCAGAATTTACATTCTTCTTAGACCTCTAGACTCATTTTCTTTAGATAAGGCACTAAGGGGTAGAACTCCGAGGAACAAAATGGGGCTTCTTATGAGAGAAGACTGTTTTTTGCTATGAGGTATCAAAAATGCCTATATTATAAATTTATTTTTAAAGAAATACTAAGACTCAGGAATTGTGACTGCTACCGTCTTAACGAATTATTCTTTCTCTGCTCCGTGCAGATACTTCTTGTGCCTTCAGCTCAGGCAGGACATTGCCTCTGGTCGCTTGCCCTGCTCTTTTGTGACTCACGCCCTCCTGGGATCCTACACACTGCAGGCTGAACTTGGGGACTATGACTCTGAAGAACATGGCCTTGATGACCTCAGTAACTTCCAGTTTGCCCCGATGCAGACTAAGGAGCTGGAAGAAAAAGTGGCAGAGCTGCATAAAACCCATAGGTCTGTTGATTTTGCTTACTGGAGAGAGAGAAAGGCCAGGGTCAGTTTAACTTAAAACACTTGCTAAAAGCCTTTGGGTGACACAATTGGTTACATGCTCAACTAACTGAAAAGTTGGTGGTTCACACCTTCTCTGAATTTGTCAAGGTTACTCCCTCTACTTTAGCTCTCTGTGCTTACCCTTATCCTCTTCCATTTTAGCCACATTTGCAACTACTAATAGTATGGTATTGCTTCTTTTAATTCTTAGGGGCTTATCTCCAGCACAAGCTGATTCTCAGTTCTTAGAGAATGCAAAGAGACTCTCCATGTATGGTGTTGACCTGCATCATGCCAAGGTACTGTAAACACAACAGTGGAGGAGACATTGTTCTAGTTTGTTGATAGAGTTTTGAGAGTGCTCCAGTGTCTGAAGATATTATTTCTGAAGATGTGACTTTTGGGGGAAAGCTTCTTAACTCAGTTTTTGTGGTGGCTGATAATGGGGTTTTTGTTTGAGGGAAAGATCACGCATTCTCCCTCAACTTCATCCTTCCCAACCTTTGTATATCTTTCAGTATGTACTTTTCTTAAGACCTACATTATCACTCTTTTTAATCATTCTTTCTTTATTCCTCATCTTATTTTTTCTGAGTTCCAGCTTCTGCTGTGACAATTACTGTCTATCAGTCCCTACCCCTTCCTAGTACCCCACATCCAAGCAGCCAAAAGGGGTGAAAATGGCGTGGTTCTGTCCACCCTCCTAAAAGCTCTTGCTGCAAAGGTGCTCCTCACTGTAGGTCTCTCTGTTTTGGACTTAGGGACAGAGTGGTGTGGTCTAGACTTGAGGTGACAAAGCACTCTCAGGTGGAACAAAAATTAATGTTCGCTGAGAAGAATCTAACCACATACCTTATGATTTTTTTTAAATTTTTAAAAAAATTTTATTATTTTATGTGTATGTACCATCAAATTGGATCTGACTGGTACAGAAGGAGATTGCCCCTCCTTCTCCAGCAGAGCATCTGGTGGATTTTTTATCATGTACCTCTGGGATTGCAGTGCAGCTTCTTGCCATTAGGCCACCAGCACTCCCTCATACCTTAAGATTTTAATTAGAATGATAACATAGTGAGGAGAGGCCAAGATAGTAAGAGATTGGTAGGAGGATGGATTTGATTTTGAAAAATATGTCCTGAGCCAACTCAACCTAATGAGACAAATGCTTTAGAAAGCCATTGTCAGTTTTTAAATGCAGCCTAGGAGATCAGACTGGTTTATTTGAGATAGCTCTAAGGAGACTCCACCTAAAAATATCTTCCTTCCTTTTGTGTTATTAATAGTACTTTATTTTGCAAAACACTTATCTCCCTTCAATGATTTCCTTTATTCAGTAAATATTTTTCCTTATTGTGGAAATGTAGATTCACTATGTAAAATAAAGATATAGCAACAGAAAAATATCAAAATCACTTAAAAATCTCTTTATAAAGAAATAAGCACTGTTAATATTTTGGTAAACATTTTCCTGTTGTTTTTTTTTTAATCTCTGAGCAGTTTTCCTTACATTTTCCCATGTCAGTAAATGATCTTTGGTAGTATATGTTAAACTACCAGAACTTACAGCCCTTTCAGTTTTTTTAAAGTATTTCTACATAGGCTATTTCATTTAAGATTTAAATGTTTTTATTTCGCAAACCAAAACCAGACCTACTGCCATTGCCAACTCACTGATTTTATAGGACAGAGTAGAAGTGCCCTTTAGAGTTTTCTAATACTTTAAATCTTTTCAGAAGCAGACTGTGCCTTATTTTTCTCTTGTGGAATGGCTATTGGAGCCCTACAGCTGACCTTTCAATTACCAGCCCAACGCTTAATCCACTGGGTCACCAGGGATCCTTGTTTTTCTTTTACAACCACATAAACCAGTATAGAGAATGACTTTTAGAAAATGACAGTTATTATCAGTCCTGTTTATTTGTTATCTTCTGATAAATCCTATAAGGGCTAGAAAACAGAACTTATAACACATACGTCTTTTTCAGCCCCCTCCTTTTTTAAAGAAAATTTATTCATTTTAATAAACATTTACAGAGATTTTTGTTTTTCATTCATTCATTGTTGCATTTTTCTCCCTGCCCAACCCTCACCCCCAGTTCGCTTTTTGAAAAGTAAAAGAAAAATTCCTTCACTGGGATTGGGCTTGGCATGGGTGGGAGAAAAACATGTATAAGGGAAGAATGGACTTAGGGCCAGAAAAGACCTCACTAGGCCTCTCTTGCCTCTCGATTCTGCTTGTCTTGTCACATTAATTTTTCTTCCTCTTACTTTGTTGATAAATCAAACAATTTCTTAAATGGCAAGATTTCAAGATTGTTGTCCAAGATCAGGGGGTTTGTTTTTTTTAATTATAGTTTTTGATGATACACAGAATAAATTGAGAGAGATTGAATTGAGGGGCTCTCTCCACCCCATGATTTTTCTTTAGTCATCAACAAAATAAGATGAAAAAATTATAGGTGAGAGCAATTGATTATTTTTAATTTTTTTTTTTACTATAAGACTGGCAGCATTAAAACTATGCTTACTTATTATTTTAATGATCAGTCCTGAACATTATAATAAGGGTGGACTCTTGACAGAGAGGTGCAGAGAGAATTAGAATGAGAATGGGGTTCTTTTTTTGATATGCTTCCAGAACTTACCATAGTCTTTCCCTATAGAACTTTGTATAGGAGAAGCCAGGTGGACATGGGATCCTGTTTATACCCATATAGTATGCCCCTCAGCTTCTCGAGGGGCAGAAAAGAAGGGAGGGAAGGATGCCCTTGGTCTTATTTTTCTGACTTTGTTGCTGTGTGATGGAAGACGATACAGAGTATTTGCTTTTCCTCCCTTTTGCTTGCTACTATTTATCTGTAATTTCTGTTAACAAACACATTGCCAGCTCTAAAAGATTATCTGGATTCACCCTAAATGCACCAGTCTTTGAATCTAGGTTTTGTTTCTTTACAAAGATAAAATAATTTCAGTGTTCTGTCCAAAGATTGCTTTGGAGTAGAGGTCTTTGTTCAATGTTTCAAATGAGGGATGCCTCCTTAGTTGTATTGAGAACACACTGTCTCTTGCAGTCTTTCCTCTTACGCCCTGTCACCATGGCCAGTGATATTTTTGGCAACCCTGACATTTGGGTCTGGTGCCAAGTGGCTTGGGCACCTTTTGCCTACCTCGCTCTAGTTTTTTACTTTTTTCCTAAAGAGCATTATGTCTACCATAGTGGAATGAATAAGAAATTCCATAGATTTCTTTCATAAAAACTTGAACAGGTAGTCTAATGTAATTTCATTTGTGTACATGAGTTTTTTTAGTAACCTGGCAGAGAAAGCAGTGAAATCAATGACCTGGTACTACTATAGTTTTAAAAACCAAATATTATGTTAATTTTTTCATGGTAAAAATAAGGCTATTGAAATGTTATTTATTTTAACTGAGTTGAGACAAGGAAAATACGATCTTTTATTATGTGTTACAAGAATTTCTCCATGTTTCTAATGATACCATAAAGTATGAACGTCTCTGGATAATACTGTGCAGTTTAGTATATCTTAAATAAGATCCATTTTTCTCTTGAAAAGTAAATAATGCTTTCCCCCCTTTTTTAAAAGAATTTATTTATTTTATACTGGTTTACATTTACAAAGTTCATAAAGTTTGTATACATTATTTTTTATGTTTTGAATATAACACATCTTAGATGTTAAGCATACTTAAAATGTGAGGATATAATTTTTCACTATTACTTGTTTTTAAAAAGTCTTTCTAACTTAAGGTCTGGTGACTGAATTGGCCTTAATACACTCAAGAATAGTCTGTAGTCTTTTGATATCTGCTATCCAAAGGAATGTTGTAATGATAACTGGTGGATGCACTTTGAGTTATTGATAAACTCCTTAAAAGAATTCAGAGACTTCAGCTTGGTCAGCGTAGACAAGATCTTTCCAATGAAAGATTAATCTCTTAGAGAACCTAGACATAATTTTAACAATTGGCGAACATAATCTACTGAGATCAGTTCGCCTAAAATAGAATGGCTGAATGTACCACACAGTAGTTCAGTGAACTGTCCCTTAGTGTTCTAGCAAAACTCATTTAAAGTGCTCTGTCTTTAGGCTATCTGAAATCTAGTTGTTTCCTTTCTTCCTCTTTAGCTCTTGCTCTAGAGCTAACAGACATCCTTATTGATAGTATTGGATCCTTCAGTTATTGCAGTAACCCTTTAACAAATCAGTTTGATTCTTAAAAATGAATAGATATAAGATGTGTGGTGGGCTCTATCTGCTATTTTAATTATTAGCTCTCCAGCTGAAATTTGAAATTCAAATCGGTTAAGTTGACATTCCTGGTTACAGCTTGAGCGACATAGCTTCCTGAACTATATAACTTTCCCAGCTCTAACAGTGGTCAAATGGTTATGGCTGTTGGCAGGACTCTGAAGGCGTGGACATCAAACTGGGCGTGTGTGCTAATGGACTTCTCATTTACAAAGACAGACTGAGAATCAATCGTTTTGCTTGGCCGAAAATCTTGAAAATTTCCTATAAACGCAGTAACTTCTACATTAAAGTGAGACCAGCTGAGGTAAGCAATATCACGTTACCCTCTTTATAGCCAGTCACAAGCTACCAGAATTCGTTCCCACTTTTTTAAGCAGACGAACTAGTCGTCATTCTTCTGTGGTAGAAAAGTAAAGAAAGTGAGAAAGGAAAAGGTCAGGATTCTTGATGACATATTCTTGATGATTGTTAAAAGCAGGAATTGAGCTTTTCAAGGAAAAGAAAAAGTATGAAATAGCCTAGCATATGATAGACTCTCATTTTTCTTATTGAATGAATTGTATGGTACAAGTTAGATGGGGAATTGGCAAAATGAGTTTTAGTCAACATTGAAAGACTTTTGTTTAAATGAATAATTTAGAATTCATTTTCAATGCATTGCATGTCTATAAAAATTAGGTATTCTAATATTTACCTTCTTCGAGAAGAACTACTTGTTACAGGAACATCTGGATCCATATTTTCCCCTAACTTCCAATCAATAAAATGTACTAACTTACTTTCTGGATTTATTCCAGCTGGAACAGTTTGAGAGCACTATTGGATTCAAACTGCCAAAGCACCGAGCGGCAAAAAGGTTATGGAAAGTATGCGTGGAACATCATACTTTTTACAGGTACTTTTAATAAAACAGCTTGGTTTCCTATGAAACGGAAACTAATCAGAATCCTGGTGGTGTAATGGCTAAGCATTAGGCTGGTAAGCAGAAGATCAATGGTTTGAACCCACCAGCTCTGTGAGTGAAGAGACCTGGCTTTCTGCTCCCATAAATATCACAATCTAGGATTCCTTAGATGCCTTTCTGCACTGTCACGCAGGGCCACTTTGAGTATGAATCAACTCAAAGGTATACTTATTGAGAAGTGTTAAGTATATGGTGTAGTGAATGCATCAGAACCAGACTTTATTGCTCTTTGCTAATGCGTAGAAGTGGTTGCCTGTTGAACACAACATTATACCCCCTGAGTGAAGGCCGGAAATCAGCCTGATCTAAAACATTGTCTTCCTCATAGTCTAGCAGGAATTTCTGTGCTACTTAAACTTGTACAACTTTACTCCCCAAAATATTAGATAGCACTACTCAGAAGGTACAAACAGAGTGCTTCTTGGAGGCAAGAGGAAAAAGCTTCACATACTTTGGGCATGTTGCTGGGAGAGGCCTGTTGACTGGAGAGTAGCATCATACCTGGAAAGACAGAGGGGCAGTGAAAGAGAGGCAGATTCTCAGTCAGATTGGTTGACACAGTGCCAACAGTAATGAGCTCTGTTGTATCAGATGTTGTGAGGACGGTATAGGATAGGACAGGGTTCAGATCTGTTACTCAGAGGGTCATTACTAATTGTTCTCAACTCAGTGGCACCTAACACCACCAGCACTCCCCAGGCCCTGCCATCAACTCAAGACTCCTAACAACCTTCCATTGGGTTTGTGAGGCTTTAAATCTTCATGAGAGTAGAATTCCCATCTTTCTTCTGTGTAGCAGCTGGTGGATTCACACTGCCAAACTTTCAAATAGCAGACTGAGCTGTACCACTAGAGCTCTTTCTTCAAAAGGACAAATCTTAATCTGTCTGGAAAGCTCATTGAATCAGAACAGTGGGACTTGTTTATTGAAAAAAGTGCATTGATGTCTTTAGAAATTTCGATTACTTTCAAATTGAAGCCATTGAAAAAATAGTTTTTTCTACTGAATGATAGGCAATCAGTGAGACTTATTGTAGAACCAAGAACATAATAAAACTGTTATTCTAGCTTGAATATTTAATATGGCCCATCCTGTCATAAATACTTTGCATGTATTAATTTTATCTTTACAAAAACATATGAGGCATATATGTTACCTTCACTTTAAGTATGGAGAAGCTGAGTTACAGAGACGTTAAGGAACATGCCCTTGGTCATTCAGTTAGTAACTGGTGGGGCTCTGAATGCTGTACTGTTCCATTGTATTTATAGTAAATGTGCTTTCTAGAATTTCTCAGAGGTTTTTTATTTTGTTGGTTTTCAAATAAAAGAAATAACATAGGATTTTCTTGTTTGAAATTAATCTTCCACTTAAACTTGACACATTGTAGCACAATAATTCCAAGTAAATTTGTGTCCTCAGCCAGTTCCGTGGAAGCTTTATGGAAACCTGTAGCATTCATGTTAAATGATTCACTTTAGTAATTGATATGCTTAAGTTGATATTTAAGTTTTCCTTAAAGTACTTTTTAATTTTCTCTAGAGAAGCCTCAATCATCATGTTAGATGTGTAATGACAAGATTTTTTTTAATACAATATTATGCTTCTTAATTAGTATATAAAAGTTTCATTTCTGCTTTGGTTTATTATTACTTAGATCATCTTGATCAGAGACTTTAATACTCTATAAAAGTTTGTCCCCATTATAGTTCTGTATTCCTAAAAATGAATGACAGGTTTTTTAAAATGATTTTTGTGTTACTGTAATGATGTTAAGAATCAATGTAGAGTTTATAATATGGACTATAAAGGTAGGTATCAACAAAATATTTGCTACGTGATCTTGATGTGATTATACAGAAATCAGTTGTTGCTTCTCCTGTATTTTTTCTTTTTTTATCATTATTAATTTTAATGAAAGTTTACAGAGTTTGGATTTCCATTCATTCATTGTTGCACTTTTCTAGCTTCCCAACCTCTCCCCTAGTTCACTCTTCTCTTTAAAAAGTAAAAGAAAAAGTCTTTCATTGTTATACAATCCCTCCCCGCAAGTTCATTCCACTATGCAGCCTTTATTTTGAAAAGTAAAAGAAAAATTCTTTCATTGTTCTACAACACCCCCCTACCCCCCAAAGTCCACTCCACTATGGAACCTTTGTTCTGTACTCCTGTCATGACAATGATATCTAATCATATATCCCTTTTAAACAGTTCTCTCCCTCATCTGTTTCAATGCAGTATACATAATTTATCCCATCTTTCTCAGTCTCCCCCCAACCCCAATGTCAGTCTCGTTTTACAACAGTGGCACAGTGCAGTATTTGTCCTTTCATGACAGAGATATTTCACTCAGCATAATGTCCTCTAGGGTCACCCATTTTGTATAATATTTCATGAGTTTATCCTGTATTTTATTTTTAATTTAGGTTGTTTATTTTTCATTTCAATGAACATCTACAGAGTTTTTGGGATTCCATTCATTCATTGTTGCACCCTTCTGCCCGCACAAACCCCTCCTCCCCCGCCCCCCCATCCTGTATTTTTAAAGTAATCGTTGACTTCTTGTTGTTGTTATGTGCCGTCGAGTTGTTTGCGACTCATAGCGACCCTATGTACAACAGCCCTAAACCCTGCTCTATCCTGTGCCAATCGCACTGCCTCTGACACACCCATTCCGATTACCCCAGTCACTGAATCAATCCACCTCATAGAGGGTCTTCCCCTCCTGCACCATCCCTCCACCCTCCCAAGCATGATGTCCCTCTCCAAGGACCTTTCTCTCCTTAGAACATGTCCAAAGTATTTCAGACGAAGACCCAGAATCCTAGCCTCCAAGGAGTAGCCTGGTTTAACCCTCTCCAGGATGAATCTATTTGTTTTCTTGGCAGTGCAGGGTACATTCCATACTTTTTCTCCAGCACCACAGCTCAAAGGCATCAATTCTCCTTCTATGTTCCCTAGTCATTGTCCAGCTCTCTGATACATAACAAGTGATTGCAAAGACCATGGCAGGTATCAGATGCACCTTAGTCTCCAGAGAGACACCATTGCTCTTGAGTACTTTAGAGAGGTCCCTTACAGCAGACTTTCCATCGCAATACGTTTTTTTATTTCCTGGCTGCTGATGCCAAGAGTGCTTGCTGACCATGGAGCCAAGCAAACTGAAGCTGTGAAAAATCTCAATCTCTTCGCCATCCGTCCTGATGCTACCAATTGTTCCAGTGGTGAGAATCTTTGTCTTCTTGACATTGCGCCTCAGTCCATACTGAAGGCTGCAGTCCTTGACCCTGTGCAGCAAGTGCATGAGGTCCTCCTCAGTTTCAGCGAGCAGGGTTGAGTCATCTGCATAACGCAGACTGTTGATAGATTTTCCACCAATCCTGATGCCACACTTCTCCTCAGGTAAATTTCTTTTTTTTAAAAAAATTAGCTAATGCTCATGTTCTTTTTTACTTTGATATTTCTTTGTATTTAACTGCAAGTTCTAAATGATAGCTTTGTCATCAGAAATGATAAGCTGGTGAATTGAGTATATATATAAACATCCAAGAAAGTATTTTCTTCATTTTGAAATAAATAAAAGTCCAGCTAGGTAGTTGTGACTTTGGCTTTGCATTTAAAAGATTTCTTTGCATTTTTTATATATAGAATGTGTTTTGCAAAGTGCATAATGAGATTATTAGTTATAAGTCCAATTCACATTTAAATAATGACTGAATGATCTTTCTTTCTTAGAAGAAGAAATTATGGTATATAAAATTTTTCTCCTCTAGACTTACACATTTGCCTGCCTATATATCCCAGCCTATATAAAAGAGATCCTACCTTTTATAATGATTGTGCTTGTATCAATATAGTGGCTTATATTGTATTTCTATTTTATTAATTTATGACTATAAAAGGATAAGTGATAGAACTTAACATTTAACATTAATCCTCAAAAATCCTGGCACAAAAGGACTAAAAAAATTCTTAAACACAATGCCCTTATAACTAACAGAATACTTTAAATTACTATGTGGACAGGTCTTTTCATTTTTCAGCAACTTAGAAAGGTATTTTTATAAAATGGAATGTGATAAAGGGATCCTAGCTAGTGATCTAGCCTATATTTATTGATCACTAGAACAGCCCAGTTTTTGAGGAGTAGTGATGTTAGTTTGAGCCTGAGGTCTGTCTGATTCAGGCGATAGTTTTTTCAATCATTTGTTATCCTGCTGGGAGTTGGACAGTGGATATGGATGGCAGAAGAATTGAACAGTGATGCTGGAGAAGAGTACCGACTGTCCCATGGACTACCATTAGAATGAACAGATAGGCCAAAGAATACCAGAAGATTAACTGTGTTTTTTATTGATTATGCAGAGGCTTTTGACTATGTGAATGATTACGCACAGTAACTAACACTGAGAATAATAGAAATTCTAGAAAATTTAATCATGCTCATATGAAGATTATAACTAAATCAAGAAGCCATTGTCCAAGCAGAGCAAGAGAACACTGACGGCATGGTTTAAAATCAAGAAAGATGTATATTAGGTCTGTATCCTTTCTCCATACCTACTTGATCTGTTTGCCAAGCAAATCATTCAGGAAATTTGACTCTTTTGAGAAAAATGTGGTATTAGGTAAGAGGAAGACTCATCAACAACCTGCAATATGCAGATAACATACCTTGCTTTTTGAAAGGGAGGAAGACTTGAAGTGCTTGCTGTAGAAGATCAAAGACTACAGCCTCCAGTATTAATTATATCTCAATATCAGGAAAACAAAAATTCCTGCCACTGGCCCGATAGACAACATCATGATAGATGGAGAAAAGATTGACATTTTTAGCAACTTCATCTTGCTTGAACTCAACAATCAGCACCCTTGGCACCAGTAGTCAGGAAATCAGAAGACGTGTCTCATTGGGAAATTCTGCTGTCAG